TCCAGAATTCTTCACTGCCTCTGCCATTGCAGCCACCACCTGGACCACCTACCTCCACTATCATCATCACTGCTAGGAGCTCACTGAGAAATGTCTTTGCCAGCCTGGGATCTGATTTCTCCCGTACACCATCAACACTATTTTATTAAGCCCTCCCAACATCCTGGTGTGGCATATAGCATTATTCCCATTTGCAGAGGGGGAAACTGAGGCCCATGCAAGTCATGCGTGAAAACTTTCAGGTAGTAAGTGGTGGTGAACTCTGGATTAATTCTGAAACACTTCATCTCCAGGAGCTGCAGTCTTTATCTCCTGGCTCTTTGGCCTGCCTTAACTCTGGTCTCTTTTCTGCTCTCCAGGGCTGTCCACTCTATCTACTTGCTTTCTTCTCTTTAGTCAGTCGAAACCGCTGTAGAGCAAAGTCTATGAGAGAAAAATCACAAGAGCCCCTTGTTTTAGACAAAGCTTCTGCATGAGGCCCCAGCAGACCACACTAAAATTGAAATGGAGTTACTCAGGCCAAAGGTACTCCAAAAGCAGCTGTGTCTGACATGTGTAGAAATCAGGGTTAGAGAGAAAGAAAGCAGCAACATTTCCCAAACAGACCAGTTGCAAATGGGCACCATAATGCTTTTTCTGCCTTCATCCCTTTCACAAAAAACAGGACCTAGAAGTAACTTCATGGCAGTTAATCAGTTGTTTTCCTATTGTTCTGTCCCCCTGACCCAGCCTTCCAAGGAAAGTAACTTCAAAATGACCAATCCACTTTTGTTATTTGTTTCAGCTTTCATCAAGCTGTTTTCTTCCCATTAAAGCAACTTCTGCTGGGCCAGCCAGAACCTTAGAAAATGTAGTGTTGCCTGATTTTAGAGCTTTTGAAACAGCCAACTAAGATCTTAACACTAAATGGTTGTCACTTTTTGTCTCTTGACAAGTCATTGCAAAGGAGAGCCTGCCACTGATATGTTCTGTAGAAGAGCTTTACATCCAAAGTTGTTTTAAAATACAACTAAACCTATACTGCTTTGTATAGATCCTGGCTCTCAGGCCTCAGCAGGCTCTAGCACTGCTTCTATTTAAAGTGGGCCCCTTGGAGTGGCAGGCTCCCATCCTCCTGGATGTGAACAACTTCCGGCTCCAGGGAGACAGAGGAGTGTCTTGAACTTGACCTTTGGAAGCAAACTTATATTTATAACTCTAAAGTGAAAAAAAAAAATGGGACAAGTAACACGACCTCGCAGCAACACTGGAGTAGAATTTATCAAATGCCTTCAAGACCTCAAGGTTGTGATACCTTTACGCTCTGCAGTCAGAGCCAAAGGTTAATTACATGAAGATGTTATCTGGGGTCTGGAAGACATTAAGGCCAGTGATTTTCGGACTGATCATTGAACTGTTCTACTGGAAGTGGGGAGGCCTGGCGGAGCTAGGGGTTCCCGAGCCCTTCCTCACTGTCAGCCAATTAGAATAGACTGTGGATCATATTGTTATAAATAGGCATTGGGGCAACATTTTATTTAAAGAGTAATTTCATTATACATTATAAAGCAACAGAGGGATGGGGATATTGTTTAGTGGTAGAGCACTTAGAGAGAAAAAAGCAACTGGACTAATCCTGCTTCATCCTTCACGTCTTTCGTAATCAAGGCCACTAAGGTTCTGAAAGGCAAAGTCCCCAAGGTTGTTTTGACTGAAAGCTATTTCTTCTATTCTTCCTTTGAAAGCTCAAAAACTGGGCTGGCTGCCAAATCTGCTGGGCATTTGCTCCTCTGCTGTCTGGGTCAGCTCTTATGCTATCCACTGGCCCTGACCTGGCCGTGTTTCCTTTGCGTTTAGGACTCCTTGGAGTGTCTTTAGAAAACAAAATGCTGTTTAGGTGCTCAAGGCAGAGCTGAGCCAAAAAGCCACATGCCTTCTCTGTGTGCCTTCTCTGACTCCAGGCAGTCGCCCTGAATGGCTCGGGCTCTTGCCTGATGGTCTGTGCATCGAGGGCGGCTGAGCAGAGAAGGGCTGACAAGCAAAGTGCCTGTCCTCCAACAATATGGTTAGAATATGGGAAAGCCCAACCAGGAGGATGTGCATTTAAGCAGTCTACAACTGTAAAGGAGAGAAGAGACAGAGGGACCAAGACCCCCAGAGATCCTATGGAAGCATTTGTTTTTAACCTTTAGGAAAATAAATCAATAAGTAAAATCCAGTATAAAAATATCAATGGCATTTTGCAACCCATATTCATGGGTATGTGGGAAGTTTCCATTGTACCATTCCTTCTTTACGGGCCCCTCTTCACTGGGCTGAGTGACAGATGATATGCGTACTCAGAAGCATTTGCATTTTTTAATAGGACAAAAAGTCATAACAAATTATTAAAGTGAATAGAGAAAAGAAAGAATTCTAGCACAAGCACAAAAGCTGTACACAAAGAATGAGGTCCTGAAGCATTTTTATTTCCAAGAGTGGCTCTCCTCAACCTAATGTTTGAGACTTTCTCAGTCTTTTGAGATGAGAGTTGTTTATAGAGTTGTTTGTTTGCTTTTGTTTGTTTGTTTGTTTTGTGTTTTGCATAGCTGGGACTGCAACTCACAGTCTCTTTGGATGCTAGTCAAGCACCTGATACACATCCCCAACCATTTCTTGCTTTTTTACTTTAAAGATTAGTTGCTAAATCCTTGCACATGTATGCTGGAAACACTGCCCAGAACCTGGCTAGCACCTGCTATGAGGCCTAATGGGAATACAGAAGGAGAGTTCTGGGACATGAGCTTCTTTCTCTTGTCGCCATTCTGTCATTACACTTTCTATTTCAGTCCCACAGTTTCTATTTCTAACCCATGATCTTTCTTTAACTGTTCCCACTGAGACCAATCCGTATGCTGGAAATGAATTTTTTTTCCCAGTCTATACTGAAGTCCTACATTCTGAGAGTTCTACAAGGATAACTCAGATTCTTTTTTTGAAAAGACAAATACTATTTTACTTGCACATGAATCACCCCCAGGAAATCCTTTGAGAGCCCCTATGTATATGCTGATATTTTAAGTTTCACACTTGGTTCTTCTGTCCCTAAGGAGATTCAGAGAATATTTAACCCTCTGACAAGAACTCCTGAGAGATGCTAAAAAATGAAAAAGAAAAAGAAACTGAAGATACTAGTTGGTAATACATAATGCTAAAGCAGTTCACTATTGTCTCTGATGCTCTTCTCAATTATTTACCAAGGTCAAGAGGTTGAACTTGAGCTCAGGTAAATCTCTAGAGTAAAGAAATGATTGCCACTATTTTTTAATGTCATAAAATTCTTGGGTATAATAAATGACACCAGAGAGTGATTTGACCTTGTTAGAATTTGACAAAATTTCTCCTTGTAAACCTTCAAAGTAGGACTGACTGCCTGGCTTGCCCACTAACTGGTATGTTATCCAATCCCTAACCCTTATCCAAAGCAGGAAACCTGACTTTTCTGAGTATTTCTAGTGCCCAGCATGGGTGCCGAACTGCATAGATATGGGAACAATATTGGTAGAATAAATACATGCAACTTTCCCCCGAATTCTCTAGGCATTAAATACCTCTTGCTTTACTAAACCAAATAAAAATGTAGACTTACAAGAGCTTTTACAAAGTATTCCTGCAATCATGCTGCCCCTCCCCCTCCCCACCTTCAGTAATGGCATTTTACTTTGATTTTATATTCAACATTATGACTACCTGTGACACTGGCATTAGAAGTCTGCTTCTTAGAATCACTCAGTGGGATGACAATACTGTTGGCTTTCATGTACTACAAAAATACCATGAATATAAAGGTGTTTGCCATAGTTTTAAATAGACTGGCTCTTTGTTCCTGTTTTCACTTTGCAAGTATTTTCCCCTGCTCGCCCACGGAACAAGAACAAGGGAACGGGCACCAGGAGTGGGCATGCGTGGTGACAGCCCCACCTGCACTTGCTGTGGTTCTCACAGTGTCTCAGGGGAGAGTCGACTTTATCTGTGCCATTTAGATCCTTCGTATTTTTGCCCAGGCTTTCTTCAAACTCACTATCCTCCCCGCTTCCTCAGCCTCAGAGGTAGTGGGAATTGCATGCGTGCATCCCCACACTCACCTATATGTCCTGTTTAAAAAGTGAAGAAAGCAAGGGGTGAGGCTCGGTGGTAGCATGAGGTTTGATCAAGGTTTAGGTTTGATCTCCTGTGCTCCAAAGCACGAGCTGGGGACCAAAGTCCAGAGGCAAGTGCTACGCTGCTGTAACTCATTACCATTACTGACCATTCAATGGCTTAAAACAATGCCAGTTATTTTCTTAAAGCTCTGGAAGCCCACCGGCTAAAGTAGATCTTATTTGACTAAAATCAAGGTGTCATCAGAGCTGCATTTCTTCTGAAGACTCAAGGGAGAATCTGTCTCCTTTTTCTTTTCCCCCTCCTAACCTCTAGACGCCACTCGCAGCCCTTTACTTACCGCCCTTTCCTTTACCTTCAAAGCCAGCAGCATTTCTGTCTTCAAATCCCTCTTTGACTTTGACATTTCTGCCTCCTACTTCCATCCAATTGAGGGTCCTTGTAGTTATGTTGAGAGTACAGCCCACCTGGATAATCCACAATAGTCTATCTCAAATTCATCGATGTAATTATATTTTCAGAGTCCCTTTTGCCATATAAGGTGATATATTCATGAGTCCTAAGGATCAGGGCCACATGCAATCAGGAACTCATACAGTGCCCTAACATACTCAGCTACCCTCAAGTTTCTAACCTTTTCTATACCCAAGACTTGGCTTCATGCGCTTTCTGTTTAAAAAGATACATTCAGTGTATACAAACTGGGGTTGATAGAGGTTTGACCTCAGTGTAGACTAATGGCTAAGAAACCACAGTAAGGCGGTGAGAAAGGAGGCATATAACCTTAGTTAAGGAGGCCCATCAGTCTCAGATACCGGGTATTCAACTTGCTACCTCAGGACCTGTGGAATGAACTTACAGAGTGTCCTTTTGTCTTTTAGGTTTATGGGCAGAAATACATTGTGAAGAATTATTTCTACTATTACCTATTCAGATTTTCGGCTACTCTGGGTCAAGAAGTGTTCTACATCACATTTCTTCCATTCACTCACTGGAATATTGATCCTTACTTATCCAGAAGACTGGTCTTAATATGGGTGGTAAGTATTACCAAGATTTACAACAGCTGCTGTACCGAAGTACTTTGCATAATATTCTTCGTATTTGTTTGTTTTAAAATCCCCTAGAGTGCAAAGCCAGGCATGGTGGTGCACACCGGTAATCCCAGCACTCAGGAGGCAGAGGCAGGAGGATCACCTCGATTTGAGGGCCAGCCTGGGTTACATAGTGAGACCCTGTCTCAAAGAGCAAAACAAACAAACACAAAACGAAATCACACAGAATACGATTGTCTCCTAATTTACTTTCGAAAAAAATAAATATAAGTGCAACTCATTTGGTCTGCAAAACCCAATCCAACTTGTAATTCATATGCTTCGATAGACATCTCGCCTTGGGTAAACAGAACCAGGAGAAGGGAAAAAGCTAAGCAGAAAATGAAAATACCTTCTAAGAATCCACAGGAAGGTATAAAATATGTCTCACCGAGAGGCCATTTTAGTACAATCTGATCAAACCCTAAAACTCTAAGTGGCAGTAAGCAGCTACTCTTTTCAGGGTAGAGAGAGGGAAGCTAGGAGGCGAATACCTGCCTAGAAAGGCTTCCAGTGAGGGAAGGGCGGCTGTGCTGGCAACCCAGTGTCAAGTCCAGGCACCTGGGTGGAGCCCTGCCTGTTGCCCATGGTACCTTAATCACTTCACGTTCAGGCCAATGAGTTCTGAATGTTTGTTTATCTGGGAAGGATTGTACTTATCTGTGAGGCAAAACAGCAAGCCACAAGGACCACAGGAAAACACTGTGTGTTTGGGCGAAAGCATTTTTACAGGGGAAGACTCCCTGTCTGTCCTTCCCCAGCTTCAAACACAGGCATCCGTTCCACCTGGGCGCTTTCTGAAGCGGTTCAGGAAGTCCTGCCGGTGTGCTTTGGTTATACTCTTGTGGCTACTTTGATGGCCTTAGTCAACCTAAAATGTTTACCTTTCCTGGTCATTTTGATGATGAGAGGAAGCCAGAAGTTGCAGGATGCCAGCTCCGGGCACTAGGGTAGCTGAGGACTCACCGTAGTGTTTGGGGAGCCTGCCTGGCCCCTACTTGGCAGAGTCATGTGTAGCATTTTTCAATCAGGCCTCCTAAGACACTCAGGGAAGAGGCCTTCCGGAATGCCTCCGAAAGTGGCAGGAACACGTAGGATGCTATGTTTGAAGTAAGGGGCAACATTTTGAGGGGAACTCATTCACCCTTATTGTGACACCCTCCCCCCCTTGTATGTGGGCTCGGATGCCAGTCAGGCCTTGGTCCTGTGCAGCTCAGCTGGTCTGCCTGCCCCGGCCTTGAGCCTTAGCTCCCTTGTGCGCCCCTAGAATCTCCTGAAGTGGGGGGGGGGGAATATGCACAAGACCTATGTGAGTAGGGTGACAAAGTGACGATCCATGGAGGCCCAGGCTTCGGAGAGCAGCCACTTCTACATCTCAGGCCTTTGTTTAGCTGGAAGACAAGGATTTGCGGCAGCGCTAAAAACAAGCTCGGAGGGCTGGGTCGGAGGTGGAGGAAAGGCTCGGTGAATTTTGGCAAGTGACTTCCCGCTCTTGGCATTCTTCTCCTTTGTACAAAAGCAGGCTCAGCTGCCATGAATTCCCTCCTGGGCAGGGGGCAGAGAAGCAAAGCCGGGCGGGTGGGGGTGGGGCGTAGAGGCGAACCACTGCCCAGCGGCCACCTGGGGGCACTGCGGGGCAGCGCCTCTGTGTCCACCTGCAGCTGCCCAGAGTTGTCGGACCTTTGGCTTTTTCCTATGAAGTCTTCCAGTTTTGCAAGGCCTGCTTCCAGTTTTCGGCGTCACTTCTCTGGCCACCGAACAAGGAATCCGCACAGTACAAACACGCGAGCCTGGGTCAGAAGCCTCTCATGCCAGGCACGTCCCCCACCTTCTTTCTGCCTCTTTCTCACCCTCCCCGCTCCACAACTGCAAGCCACATTCTGCGGTCTCTGTCCCGGCCTCCTGCCTGGCCTTCTCCTGAAGTCTAGCTTTTTATCTAAAAGTCTGACCCGAGAACCTGCAAACGCACAGGCTGCTCACGGATCATAAAGGGAGTGTTGGTCCCGGTGTCCCTCTGGCCTTGGAAGCCCCTTGGGGTTTGCTAGGGCAGCTGCATGTGGGGAGGAAAAGAGGGGAGATGAAGAGGTTCCCTCCTCTGCTGAAAATCGGAAAACTCGGGGACAGACCCAGGTGTCCCAATGCATGTATGACAGTACATGTGTAATGTGGACTCAGGATGTGTTTCCGGAAACCTTTATGCTGGTGGAGTAGGCCAGGTATGCTAAGATGTGAAGTGCCTTTGTTTACCTAGGACCATCGTACAGGGGGCATGCTGCAAGTGCAAGCGCTGCTAGGGCAGAAAGCTTTCCAAAGGGCTAAGAAACCTCAGACTTGCCAAGAAGCTCTGGGATTCCAGGAGTGCGCCGCGCCCAGCGTGGTGGAAGACTCACGCTTCTGGTTGTTAGCGCTCCCTTTAGCCTATGTGTGAGGAAGGAAGAACCTCTTGAGTCTGCAGGCTATCCTGAGTCATTTGATAATTTTGGGGAGCGATTGTTTTGTTTTGTTTTCCCGTTCCATGGATCGAACTCACACCAGCAGGCATTTGTGCCGCTGAGCTACATCTGCGGCTGCAGTGTGCTTTTTTTTTTTAATTTTATTTTAAAAAGCAAAACAGAAAGAAAAAAGGATTGAAAGGATACAAAATTTCAAAAAAAAAGAAAAAGAAAATAGAGAATTAACACTGGTTAATATATGGTACATTGTTATCTCGAAACTAGTTGTTCAGGTTACAAAATCTAGATGTAAAAGTGATCAGTCAAACTGACAGCACAAACTGTTCTTTTTGATGACCTAAGCGAGATTAGTAGTATAGTCAGCTATCCAACATACATATACAAACATAAATTTATATATGCAGGATGTGTAAGTAGGGTGTGTGAGCCATCAGGGCAGCGAGGCAGGTTGGCTCCAGCGAGGTCCTGCAGGCTCTGGGGCGAGAGAACGGGGCCGCCCCACTGGGGGACGGTGCAGGGGCAGGGGCGTGGGTGTGAGAGCCCTGGGCCACTGAGGGGAGATGCTTGTCTTGGCTCAGCGTTGAAGGTGAACATAGGGACAGAAATCCCCGGAGGAGCTGGGGTCCAGGAAGAGACTGGGATGGCGCCTGCTGGGGTTCTTAACCTCAACCAGCCTGGGACTCAGGGCATCTCCACACCAGTGACTGCCCCATCAAGGGACGGGACTCAGAAAGACTAATTACATAAGGTCCAGAGCTTGAAGGTTTAGGGCTGCAAACGGTCTGTCTCCCACAAAAAGTGTTGGAAGGCACCGTTTGTCCCAGTGTCGCTCTGCTGGTCAAATTTTATATTAATTCAGCAGTTGTCAGACGAGACTCAACAGGTTTTATTGCCTTTAAAAAAGCATTCATCGTGTTGCAGTTGACTTGTAGTGTCTGAATCAGCTTAGCAGAATGTATGGGTGTGTTAACTGCTCTCTCTCCTCACAATCAGTCACTCCTGCTTGCTGTTGTGCGTTTTACTGGCACCGGTGTTCATTAACTGACTTATACTTCATTACCATGGTGAGTGTTCTTTTATAGATCTGGACAGTGATGCTTCAAATCATAAAGAGTCATGCTATACTCTGAACACTTAATCTATGCACTTGCAATGCCCCTGAGTGCAATAGCATTTTATATATTTTACCTCAATTAATTCTGCCAGCCATCCTGAGTAGCTATTACTAGCCCATTTTATAGATTGTGAAACTGAAACATAAGAAGGCTGAATAATTGTCCAAGATCAAAGTGGATGCAGCCCTGGCCGGTGGGCCTCCACTGCCAGGGAGTCTTCTTGTTCCAGAGCTCAGCTCAGTGGCAAGAAGAGTGTCCTCTGTGCTGTCCTTTCCTTTTTCTGTTTTCAAGTCACTGCATCTGGGGCTTTATGAAATGATCTGCTTCTGTGGCTTTGCTTGTGTTTCAGGATGCTCTTCCCAGCCGTGCACTGTGTGACCTCAGGCTCCTTTGATTGCCCAGGCCCAGAAAACTTAGACAAGGGAAGACCTCAGTCAAGTCACAGTGCCCTCTTCTGCCCCATATCCATGTTTTAAATCTACCTTTGGTTTCAGAAGAATCTTAGCCTGCTTAGAATCCCCGTAAAGAATTTGGGGGTAGTGATGCACCTGGAGTCCCAGGACTCTGGGAGGCTGAGACAGAGGATTACAGATTCTAGCTTGAACAATTTAGTGACTCAACAAACTCAAAACTTAAAAAAAGTAAAATAAAGGGGTGGGGATGTGGCTCAGTGCAGAGGCCTGGAGTTCAATCCCCCCCAACACCCACACATACCCAACATTCCCATGCAGAGAAATAGATGGCTCAGTACCTGAAAGAGTGCTCATCTGGCCGCTTGACTTCCACTTTGGCATTGTGAAGGCGCTAGCCAAAACCTAAAAACAGCTTTAAAGTTATACTGTAACATGAAGCAAATGCTCCCTCACTGTTTCTCCAATGAAGTTTTTCTTTGTTTTGTAAAATATCAATACTGCCATTGATCCTTGAGGCTCAGAAAGCTGCATTTCTCTGTTCTTAAAAGATTTCATTATTTATATCCTGCTTCTTGGCACAGACCTTTCCTAGCACTGATAACAAGATTTTAAAAAATGAGCTAAGTAGATAAAAATGAAAATTAGGTAAATTCAGATATCATTGAAGACTAAAGCCCAGACTAATGTTAAACATACCGTGCTGGTTTAAAGATGAGCCACAAATTAGTCTTTGGACTTTGTCTTGACCTAGCCAAAATGAAGTCCACCATCTATTAGGAGGGGATAGGCCTGTTCCTAGGAGAGCCAGCCTCCTGCTGACGCATACGGTTGATAGAATTGCTAAGGCTGGTGAAGTACACGGCTAGTGTTTCCGTACACATCCTGTCGGGCCCCCATTCGGTGTGTGCGTAAGGCCGCGCTGTAACTGCTTTTCATGAGCTTCGTGTATGCTCATTTTAAAATCA